GGGGGGGGGGAATTAGAAAAACGAGCTGCTTGTTTTCTCTCACATGTGGTGTTTTAATGAGCCTTTGTTTAGTTCCCACAAAGCCGTTAAGCAGCATTGCTAGCAGTGTACTAAGGAGTTAGATTGCTGTGGGCACAACAGTAAATTGGTTTGCTTCCTAGTACTGGTGGAGGGTGACAGTTTCCCTTTTCAAAAGAAGGGGAAGAGCTTTTATGGATGAACTGGTTTGCCACGCTGAAGCTTGCTTTCACACTTCTGCTATTAATTCTTTCATCTGAAATTTGCAGTTACCCTTCGTCTACAGCCTTGTGTGATAGGTTAAGGCTGAAAATGGGGTTGAGCCCAAGATCGTCTAGTAAGCTTTATGGCCAAGTGGTGATTTGAACCCAGGTCTCCTTGCTACAACACTGTAATCCTAATACTGTATTGCCTCAGGTGTATTTGAATGCCTATACCATAGGGTTAATTTTGGGATAGGGTCTGTTGGAGTAGGGTTGGCAGTTCTTTGCAATTTGATATGTGATGGTGGGTGATGCTTTTCATGACAAGTGGATAAACATTTTAATATTGCAAGCCAAGTCACTCTACCAGGCACAGCAAAAGGGGCCAGTTGAAAAGTAGGTAACCTTTGCTATAGCTGTTGATTCATACTGTGATAAATTAGTCTTGTGGCAGCATAAAGACTAATGAATTGATTGTGCATAATACCACAATAAATTATGTAGCTTTTCGGGTACCATGAGTTGTGCTAGAAAATTGATCATAAGTTTTCTATTAGTTGTCCATTTATTCATACGGTGTTCAGAAGGCTAATGCAACCTAAATTTTGGGAAGAGGCACCCCTTCCCCAAACCATCTTGCAACGCAAAATTGCGGACAGTGGTTTTTCCATTGTCATATGTCACCAAATAGGATCTCTCCTCCATAAATAGAGCTGGGAGTATGGGTGGGTCTGTTTCATCAGATGTATAACATGGGCAGGGGTGGTAGTAGAGATGGGTAAATGTCAATTTGAACATTGTGAGAAATCAGTGCCTTTGGTGCTAGCTTTTAATGCCAGTATTCAGCCCTGGAACTTGCAATGTGTAATAACAGTACCTCTGAACATGTGTAAAATGCTCCCCACCCCACAGTCCCTTTCTTCTCTGTAGTGTTTCTTGTCGCTTAGACCCAAATTAAAATTTCATTTTAACAGAGGTATCATTAGATAAAATTCTGTTTGATCTCCCCAGCCTACCATATATGACCGTTCTAATGCCAGGCTTGACTAGGAATAGAGAAGTCAGAGTTTTGTGGTTGGGACAGAAGGATTTGGATAATAAAAGTAGCTGGTGTGCTACAGTGGTTGGAACATCAAATTGGGAACATTTGATTTCAGGTCCTTACTCTGTCATGATCTTTACCTTGAGCTACTCACATTTGCTTTACACTAACTAATCTTGCAGGCAGGCCTGGACAGCTTTTCAATGCTTATTTGCCTGGGTGACTAAATGTTGGTTCACTAGTGGCAGTGGCCATGGTGTAGGGAGAAGAGCTATAGGCAGATAGTAAGGAGCGGGCTCCAAAGTTTTAGCCAGTAGCTCCTAGATCAGGACTGTGTTTGTCCAGGCCTGCTTGCAGATCTGTTAGGATACATGATGAGGGTAGAGATCATCACCCTGAGCTCCTTGGATGAAGGGTCAGATAACGTTAACTAAACCTTGTGCATCTAGCTCCCACCAGTAGCGGCTATGGATCTGGCTATGGATGTTGTACCTTACAGGTGAATACTGACGAAGCTCTTGCTGGCTAGTAAGCCAGCAGCAGCTGAGTTCCAGCTGAACTAAGTCTGGCTTCCTTTCCTTGCAGTACTATCAAACTGTGACTTGAAGGGCAAGAGCCAAAGGGGCTCTTAGACCTTGTAACTTGCAGCCGGCATCCTTTGGATAAGAATACTTATCAATATACAGAATACAGAGTCTTAACCCCTTTTTTGTTTGGTGTATTTACACTGTAATTTATCTTTTTGTTAGTTGCTTTGGGCTCCTTTGGGGAATAAAGCAGGATTTAAATTCTTCAGTAGTTATTGGCAGTGCACCAGTGATGTTTGATTTGTGTGTATGGTGTTAGTGGTTTTAATACTTTTTCATGTGTTACAATAACATAGCCTGTGACAACAATTACTGTACCATGAGCATGTAATTGTGCTCAGCAGAGAGATCCTCCATTGTAGGGACAAGTCAGAATGGCTGTATATGTGATTCTGTTTCCATTTCTGTTCCTCTGGTGAATATCCCTGTAGGTCCACTATATGGATTTCAGCGGTCCTATGTGTCTGGCATTTAAAGTTATATAGAAGATCAGGTGCAAATTGGCTTGCAGCATTCCAGTACCATTTAGAGTGTGTGCCTCCAAGATGCCTAAAAAGATAGAACATTTTGTGCATTCAGTGGAGAGTCCCCCCCCAACACCTCCTGCTTCTAAATCTCACTGACTGTCTCAGAGAGGGTTGGAAGCTGCCACATAGAACTCTTCTTTCATGCCTTAATCAAGTTGAGCTGAAACTCTGCTCCCCCTTTAATCTTTTGCATAGTTAATTTTCATTTACAGAGAGCTTTTGAAGGTTTCCCTCAAGTCATTTTGGGAAACAGTGTTCAGCTGAACCAGCAGGAGGAGACACAAGCCTGTAATATCTTGGCTGGAGACGTGTTTGGTTTGGGAAGCTCTGAACTGGAGACCCGTTTTGGAAAACCCCATCACCACCACCACTAAAAAACTGTCTACTTGGTGCAGGTTGTCTTTGAGCTGATTTGTAGGTGACCTGACTACTAATCTGGATTTTTCTCCCTCCTAGAGAAACATTTGGTCCTCCTCCGAGACGGCAGAACGCTGATAGGATATTTACGAAGCATCGATCAGTTTGGTATGCTTACCTTGCTTTTTTGTTTGTTTATTTCGGTTGATGCAGAGGTCACTGAGCGAGTCCGGCAATGTTTGACAACATCCCAGGATCCAAAGAAAGCAGATATATGCTTGGGGTTGAAGGTATTAGTATCCCTGTCCTGGTTACAGCTGTGAAGGCTGGGGCAAAATCAGAGGTGGATCCAGTTAGCTTTTGCACTGATGAGAAAGGAAGGAGGCAGCATAGCCTCAAAAAGGCCATCCTGAGAATCCTGGGATCTGCAGGTGCAAAAGCCATGTGGGAGGAAGGGTGTAATGTGGAGGAGAATTGAGTGAGATTGGAAAAGCTGGTTGGATCCCAACAGCTGTGAAGGCTGGGGCAAAATCAGAGGTGGATCCAGTTAGCTTTTGCACTGATGAGAAAGGAAGGAGGCAGCATAGCCTCAAAAAGGCCATGCTGAGAATCCTGGGACCTGCAGGTGCAAAAGCCATGTAGGAGGAAGGCTGTAATGTGGAGGAGAATTGAGTGAAATTGGAGAAGCTGGTTGGATCCCGCCTGAGATGTCTCCCTTCCATTTGTGCATGCTATTATCTTCTCCCCTTCTGGTCTCTCTTTGGATCCTGGTCCAAATCTTCTCCCTGCTCTTAAGTAAGCCATTCATATTCTAATTCATGGGCAGGGTTTTATCCATCATTTGTGGGCATGTGCTGTTCATGGCGGATTTCCTGGGTGGGGGTGGGAGAGTGGTGGAGGAACTAGATTAAGGCAGGCTAGATGATGACACTATTATGTAGACCTAAATCAAATCTAATTGCTTTTGTCTCTGCACAGTTTTGCGTTCAAGCGAATGGTTGTTTGAAACATTTGGCTGCACGCTAATGCTTTTGGCTGCTCAAGATGAATGCAAACTGGGGAAACTGCCATGTTTGTAATATGACTTGGAAAGAAAAGAGTCAGGTGCATAGGTATCTTGGAGACATACCCAACTGGGTTTGTTAAATATTTGGGAGTCTTGACCATAGTTCCCTCTAAGCTGAGTTGGTGTGAGCCAGCTCACAGATTTTTAGCTTCCGGCTCACACATTTTTATTTTAGCTCAGGAAGGATGGCTCCAAAGCAAACTGATTTATGCAGCAGCCAAATCGCTGGCTCACAACTTTAATGCCAGTAGCTCACAAAGTAGAATTTTTGCTCACAATACTCCACAGCTTAGAGGGAACATTGGTCTTGACGTGCTTGGAAACTGGGCAGGATGTTTTTATATGAGCCAGGTTGAGGTTCTCTGGACCGGACTCACCCTCCCTGCCACCACATGACAGCTATAGGAAGCTGGCTTCCGCAAGCACTGCAGGGCCCAATTCGGATCAAAAAATGGCTTGGGGGGCTGAAGCCCCTTCTCCACACCATGTTGCCATGCTGAATTGATCCCTGAGGCACTGGGGAAGTAAGTTATTCACAGCTGCCTTGTGGCTTCAGGAAAGGTGAGTTGTGTCAGGGGAACATCAGTTTGACTCCTGCAAAAATGATCTGGCTAGTTTGGTCCTAACTCCTTGCAAAGGTAGAAAGTCTCCTGGTTCTTCTTGGTGAATTACATTAGTGGACTTTCAGCCTGGCCTGAAATCACACAGTTATGTTTGATTCAGTACTAATGAATATCTAGGAAATGTGATTTCCTTTTCCTCCCCCCCCAATAATTTTTTTATTGATTATTTAGTCTGTTACATTGAGAGTTTATATTTATTTACATTTTCTCCCCTCCCTCCCTCCCTGCTAATTAATATCTAGGAAATGTGATTTCCTTCCCCCCCCCAATAATTTTTTTATTGATTATTTAGTCTGTTACATTGAGAGTTTATATTTATTTACATTTTCT